AGTTCTTAACATCCCAACACTCAGCCCCATACATCATGGCCGGTCTAACCATCGCTTTATAGTACTTACCTTTGAGTATCGGTGGCACTCTCTTGTCACACAGGACCCCAGATGCTAACCTCCACTTCATCCATCCTACTCTAATACGGTGTGTGACATCCTCGTCGATCTCCCCTCCCCCCTGGATAACCGACCCAAGGTACTTGAAGCTACCTCTACTTGGGATAACCTGTGATTTAAGCCTCACATCCACGCCCACTTCCCCCGACTCAGCGCTGAAGTTACACTCCAGGTATTCCATCTTCGTCCTGCTCAGCTTGAAACCCTTAGACTCAAGAGCCTGTATCCAAACCTCCAGCCTCTCGTTAACACCGGCTCGCGACTCATCAATCAGAACTATGTCATCGGCGAATAGCATGCACCATGGCACCTCCCCTTGAATATGGTGTGTGAAAGTGTCTATCACCAGGGCGAATAAGAAAGGACTGAGCGCAGAACCTTGGTATAACCCCATTACAATCGGAAAAAGCTCTGATTCGCCTGCTACAGTCCTAACCCGAGTATTAGCCCCATCATACATGTCCTTAGTTGCCATAATGTAGGGAATCGATACACCTTTTGCTTCCAAGCATCTCCAGATAACTTCTCTAGGAACCTTGTCATACGCTTTCTCTAGGTCAATAAACACCATGTGCAAATCCTTCTTCCTCTCTCTGTACAGTTCCACCAACCTCCTAACAAGGTGTATAGCTTCTGTAGTAGAACGACCCGGCATGAACCCGACTGGTTGTCGGATACAGACACTGTCATCCTTACCCTCGCTTCGACCACCCTCTCCCACACTTTCATAGTATGACTCAGTAATTTAATACCCCTATAATTGTTACAGCTCTGGATATCACCTTTGTTCTTATACAATGGAACCACTGTAATCCACCTCTACTCATCCGGCATCCTTTTCGCCTTAAAAATAACATTAAACAACCCAGTCAACCACTCCAAACCTGCTCTCCCCACACACTTCCAAAATTCCACCGGAATCTCGTCTGGCCCAGTCGCTTTGCCCCTACTCATCTTACGCATAGCTTCACGACCTTCTCGACCTTAATATGCCTGCAGCACCCAAAGTCACGGTAACTCTCGGAATGCTCCAATTCGCCTACCACAATATCCCGATCTCCTTCTTCATTCAGAAGTTTATGAAACTCCACAAATTTGGTTTCAAAATTTCCTTTGGCTAATTCCAATTTAACTTTCGACGGTTAAATTTGATTTTTTTTTTAAATGATACCATTATCACTATATACTTTGATTTTCTATGACCGTTTACAATTGAATAGACAAAATGAACCTATAAAATTTCTTTTTTATTTACCAATCTCTCCACACCAATTAAACCTTAAAATTCACAAAATAAGCGAGAAAAACAAGAAGTTTACCATAAATGAAGGAGAGTGGAGGTACGCACAACAGAAAAGCGTTGATGAAAAGAAACATAAATGTAAGAAAGAAGACAGCTAAAAAGGCCGTACTGTGAAAATGTGAAATCTACGAAAGGGAAAAAAGGTACAAATACAATTAGCAGAAACTGACGTGCGGTCCGAATTCTCAGAGATTTGCGCGTCTCATGTTATGTTAACTGAGTATTGTTTGTGATAGAAAGGAAACGTCGTGCATAGATTCTCCTTTCATCCAATATTCAATTCCACTACCCGCCAATCACGCACTGCCGCCTCCACCGTTATTTCCCCAAAATTTATGTTTTGATTGAATAAAATCAGGTTTTTGTTTGGACAACATTTGGAAAAATGTTCTTTAAGAAAACTGCGAAACATGAAGATGCATTTGAATAGATGTAATTAGTTTTTAGATTTATGAGTGACAGAAGGTTCCAATTGTTATGGCATCACCCTTTCCTCATGTGAGTATTAAGAGTTCTTATTTAAGGTTCCATTAATTGTTTTCGTAGAGCTAAAATAAATTCCGCTTCGTTCATTTTGTACATTATATGAAAAGATTAAAGGTTTTAAGTCTAATTAAACTTGTGGTAAATTTACTAAATAGATACTTAATGATTAATGTGGAACACTCCAAATCCCACGAAGATAATAGGCGTTAGAAACTTAGAATCTTTTTTTGGTAACTAAACATTTTTATTTACCAAGTAATATTTGCAAAACATTTTCATTCTTTAGTTTGATCTTGGACACAAATCCCAAATTCAAACTGAACCTCTCAATACTAACTACTATCCTAATTACATATCCATACAGATATTAGGGTAGTAATTAAGAACTAATAAACTCTTCTTCAACTTTTGCATCATGCTGCCTCGACCATGAATTTCTTGAACTAGTTGTCGAACAATTGCTTCAATGCTCCTCTGTTTCTCTTGGAATATCCTTGAGTTCCTCTCTTGCCATATGCAATAGACTGTACCAGCTAGGGTCATTCTATACACTTCTGCTGTAGAGCTCCTTTCTTTGTAACGACTTGCAGCCCATTCTAACTCTTGCCCCTATTCCATCACCTGCCTCTGTAGTCCTTGCCACTGCAGTAGTGTTCTCCATATTCTTGCTGAGTAAGAACATTTAAAAACAAATGCTCAATGGTTTCTTCTACTTTGTTACTTAGTATGCAAACTATATTCTCAACACAACCCCATTTGTTTAGTCTATCTCGTGTTAGCAATCTTTGTGAGCAGCCATTAGTAGCGTAAACTTCCACTTAGACAGTCCTGCATTGTTGCATGTAATTCTCTTCCATGAAACTTTAGTAAATTCTCCTCTAAGCTTCAAATACATTGCCTTGGTTGAAAACTTGTCCATCTGCATAAAGTCTTCTTCTGTCAGCCCAGCTTCCTCAACTTGCTTCTTTGCCTTCAGTATCTTTTGAACCACCCATGATGCTTGCTTTGGGGTTCCACCTGCAGTCATGTATCTTTTGTAGTAGAGGTGCACCCATTGTATCCACATTTTATCTTCCTTTTTGCTAAGGTTCCAAAGTAGCTTACATATAGATGCTTTATTCCAGATTCCTATGTCCAGTATATTCAAACCTCCAGCTACTTTTGGCCAGCATAATCTGTCCCAAGCCAACAATGCTTTCTTTGTGACTTCTACCCCTCCAGTCCATAGGAATCTCCTGCATATACTCTCTATTACTTGGATCAATTTCTTTGGCAACATTAACACTTGTGTCCAAAATACTTGTATAGAAACAATACACTCTTGATTAGTTGAATTCTGCCTGCATAAGATAAGAATCTGACAATCCATGATTGAATTCTTCCCATCATCTTTTCTATCAATGGTTGACACTGTACCACTGATAATCTTTTAGTACTTAGAGGAAACCCCAGGTACCTCACAGGCATTGATCCTTTACAAAAGCCTAGGATCTATAAGATCTCCTGTTCTGTATCCTCACTAACTCCACCAAAGAAGACTGAGCTCTTGCTTGTGTTTGCAACTCGGCTAGAAGCTTTAGAGAATTCTTGAAAGCATTGATAGAGTAGTTGTACAGATATAGTGTCACCTCTATAGAAAAGCAACAGATCATCAGCAAAACTGAGTTGTACTATGTTCATCTTAGCACACTTAGGATGGTAATTGAAATTTGGATTCATCTTCAATGTCTTTAGTGTTCTTGCCAAGTACTCCATAGCCAATATAAATAGATATGAAGACAATGGGTATCCCTGCCTCAGTCTCTTCCGTGTATGAAATGGTAGTGTATGCTGCCCATTGATAATGATAGAGTAAGATACACTCCTCACACACTTCCTGATCCAGTTGACAAATCTCCCAAGCATTTGTAAATTTTCCAGAACTTGTTCCATTAATCCCACTCAATAGAGTCATAAGCCTTCTTCATATCAATCTTCATCATGCATCTTGGTGACACACCCTTCCTGCCATACCCTTTGACTAATTCATGACTGAGCATGATATTATCATTTATCAGCCTCCCTGGCACAAAGGCAGACTGGTTTCTATCTACTATATCATCCATTATCCCCTGCAGTCTGTTTGTGATCACCTTTGAGATTATTTTATATAGTATAGTACAACATGATATTGGTTTGTACTCAGTAATACTAGTAGGATCCTTCACCTTTGGTACAAGAGTCACTGTTGTATAGTTAATAGGTTGATAGAGCTTAGAGTGTGTGAAGAAATCCATTACTGCCTCTGTCACTTTCTCACCAATCACAGGCCAAGCCTTCTTATAGAATAAAGCATTGAACCTACCGCAGCCGGGTGCTTTTTTGTCTCCAATTCCCAGCAGTGCATCATATACTTCCTCTTTAGATACATCTTTCACCAATTGAAGTTGCTGTTATCCGTTCACCAGGGCTCTATCTCTCATCACTACTGGATTTATAGCTGGCACAGTTCCATCTGATGATCCCAGTAGTTGTTTATAAAACCCATGTACTTCCTCTTCAATCTCTTGTTTGGAATGTACTCCAGCTCTATTAGCCTTTGTTAGGCTCTTTATTTTATTCTGGCAGCATCTATTCTTCATACTTGCATGAAAATAAGCTGTGTTACCATCCCCTAATTTCAGCCAGTTCGCTCTGGATTTCTGTTTCATAATGCTTTCTTCTACCCCCAGCCATTTCTCTAGTTGAGCCTTCATATCTTTTTCTACCATAATCACATCTTCCTTCTGCCCAGGGTCCCTCATTTGCTCCTGCAGTTCTCCAAGTTGCTGTATGCATCTGTTTATCTCCTTATCTACTTCATTATATTCAGCTTTATTAAGTTCCTTCATTGCTTGTTTCCCCCTCTTTAACCTGCACCATACATCCTTCATTTTGTTTTTCCCTTTTTCCATGCTTCCTTTACTCTTGTAAGAAATTCCTTATGTTCAGCTACATGGTTAAGAAAGTTGAAAGGTCTTGATTCCCTTTCTTTATTATCTTCAAACTTGATACTCAAAGGAGAGTGGTCTGAACATCCTGGATCCATTACTCTTACTTCTAGTTGTGGAATTTATAGCATCCATACAACATTTACTATAGCTCTATCTATTCTGCTATAAGTATGTCCATTGGTCCATGTGAATCTCCTTCCAACAGTTCTAATTTCTGTTAGGCCATTTTGCTCCATAAAGTCATTGAGATCCCTGACTTCAGCCTCTTGTACAGGTTTGCCAACTGGTCTATCCTCTTGTCCTCTAATTGTATTATAGTCCCTCATTATCAACCATGCTCCTTGTTGTATATTGCTCCACCCATTCAATTCATTCCAAAGCCTTCTTCTATTCAATTGTATGTAATCCATACACTGCAGTAAAAGTAAATCTCAGATTCATACCTTTTAGGTGAACTTCAGTATGAATGTATTGGTCAGATTTCCCCAGCTCTCTGCATTCCACTTCATTAGAATCCCACAGTACCAAAATTCTTCCTCTATCACTATACTCATAGTTGGCTAACCATTTCCAGCCTGGCGTGATTCTCCTTATTACTTTTGTATCATTCTGCTTCTTTATTTTGTACTCTAGTATTGCAATTATACTTATTCTATTACTTTTAATAAACATCTTGACCTCTTTTTATCTAGGGACGTTGTACAATCCCCTTATGTTCCATGTAGCAAGAATCATACTGGGAAGAATAGGTTTTGATCCCCTGCTCCTACTTCTTCATTGCTCCTCTGCTTGCTTGTGCCTTCATCTATTGCTCTGTTGTATGCTAGTTGCAAACTAGTCTCTGCCAGAATATTGAAACCATTTATCATGTTGATAGTTCCATTCTCTGGCTTCTCCCTGCTTTTAGCTACTGATTTTCCAGTAACTTTCTTCCATGCATGTTCATGTTCTTTGCTTGGTCCTGCATTGTTTCCTTGTGTCTCATTGTAACCAGCTATTTCCTTGTCTTTGTTTGCCTCTACCTTCTGCTGATTTCCTTTTTCCTTTTGAATCACATTGGGCTGCCACTCTTGTTTCTGCTTCTGCTTCCTTGTATTGTCCTTAGTGATTTTTTGCTCTCCTGCATTACATTGATGTCCCACTTTCATACAAGTAGTACAGAATGCAGGAACCCAGTCATAGGTCACCTCTTGCACAAACACTCTTCCATTAGGATCTGTTACCTTCACTGCTTTAGGAAGTTCTTTAGTAACATCTACTTCAATTAAGACTCTAGCATAGGAAATTCGATCTAGTTGAGTTGTACATGCATCTGCATATAGTGGAACTCCTAAGCTACTACTAATTCTGCTTAGTGACTTTGCTCCCCAACAGTTAAAAGGAAGGTTAGGGAACCTTACCCAACTAGGAATAATCTGTAACACTTCCTTATTAAAGTCAAAATCGACAGTCCATACTTTCATTATAATTGGCTTGTTGTTTAACATGTGAGGTCCAGAATATAAAACTTCATCTCTATCATTCATGGAATTGAATCTTACAACAAATTATCCATCATTATGGAAGTAAACTTTTGGCTTTGTTGCAAAATTTCATTCAAACGCAATGAATCTCTCCATAGCACCTATAGTTGGGGTACTTCCAACTACATATAGAATCAAAGTTTGTTTCCACTTCTGCGTTTCCTCTTCTACTTCTTCCTTACTCAATTCAACTATTACCTGACCATTTTTAATAGTTGGAGCAATAAAACTTAGATCCATCCCCTTTGCCGCCATTCTGTTCTCTACAAACAGATTTGTCCACTTTTTTGCTCTGGTTCCATCTTCTCATTAATTATTGCATTTTGTCTCTTATTCGTGCTCTCCTTGTCCTTAATTTGCCCAGATTTCCCAGCAATTGCACCTGAATTACTCACATGCATGTCGATTTGCTTTGGCTTTGTAGTCACCTCGATTAATCTACCTTCATTAGTTTTTTCTAACTCAACATTATCGGATTAATGTTCATAGTAGGAGGAGTTTTCATACCTTCCTTCATAGCTGTTAGCGATGGCCATTGTTCCATTGAATTTTCATCTTCAATTTGTGAATTCTGAGTTTTCCTTTCACTACTCTGAGTATTACTGCTTGTTCCTGCTAGATCCGTCCTCTGAATCACGACTGAATTTTTCTTAGGTCTGTCCTCCCCATTGATGAACAACGTACGTTAGCAACCACGCTTATCGTGCGCTGAGAGCAAACGATGAAAGTGAATACCATACATTACACTTCTCGATCCCTTTTGTGAGACTGTTCCTTAATGTATGATCATCATACTTATAAATTTATAAATTATAATTTTAAAACCATCGTCCAAATGAGGTAATTCTAACAAATGAATAAACTAGATGGAAGTGTAAACCAATTGGTTTAACTTCTAATAATATTTGGCTAGAAATGCTTTTTAAAAATCTGTCATCATTTTTGGACACATTTAGTTTATGTATGACAAATTTTTATTTTTTATTTTTAAAAGCATTATGTGCTACAAATTAGGGTGAAAATCATTTACCCTCCCCAACTTTGTGTTAAAAATCAAACTCCCCCCTCAACTTTGAACAATAATCATTCTTCCCCCTTTATCCTACACAATACCTTTTTTGCCCTTGAATTTTTAATTTCCTCCTCAATTCAATACTTTTTTCTTATATGATATTTTTTTTATGGTTTTAGCTATAACTTAAATTATGTAATATCTATTATGAATTGTAATTAGAGTTCATTAAAATTATAAGTAGAATAAGTAATCAAAATCAATTAAAATTACCTTATCTTTATGGTTGTTATTTAATGTAATGCATATTAAATATATATATTTAAGTTATATTTTCTTAGCGACGGAGCTAGAAATTCATATAAGAGGATTGAAAAATACCCCAATTTNATATATATATATATATATATATATATATATATATATATATATATATATATATATATATATATGGCAGAATGGCCTAAATGGCATCTATACTTGTCCCACTTTGTCACGCCGGTCCCCAAACTTCACTTGTTTTCATCCAGACACTTGAACTTGATCAAAGCCTATTATTTGAACCCCTCTGANAGCTAAGAGTATAGAGTTCATTTATTTCTTAGCTCACAAGTTCAATCCGAGTTTTTCATATAAGAGGATTGAAAAACACCCCAAGTTATCTTAGCTCACAAGTTCAATCCGAAAAAAAAGTTGGGGTGTTTTTCAATCCTCTTATATGAATTTCTAGCTCTGTCACTAAGAAAATATAGCTTAAATATATATTTAATATGCATTACATTAAAATAAGGCAGAATGGCAAACTTCACTTGTTTTCATCCAGACACTTGAACTTGATCAAAGCCTATTATTTGAACCCCTCTGACCGTTGACCAAGCACATGTGGCAAAATAATGGTTGAGCTGGACAAAGTGGGTGTAATTCAGCAGAAAATGAGCGTGAATATGAGCATTTTGAACCAGAAATAATTAAAATAAGAAGAAAAAATCGTTAAAATAAGAATGAAAAATAAAATAAGTAAAAAAAAAGCAAACGGGTAGGTCCAAATAACTGAAGCTAACGGGTAGATCCAAATAAGTAATCCCTTCTTCCCCATATCCACCTTTCTCTTTATCCTTATTACTCATATCATTCAAGAATTTGTACCAGAAAAACATCTGAAAGCTCAAGACTTCCAAACTTCCGTCATATGTTACTGAAATCTAGCCAGATCTAGATCCACAAAATAACAGTACTAACAATAGGGAAATTAAAAGGAAAAGAAATAATTCATATCCCCTTCAGGGACCAAACCACCATTAAGCGAGTAATTCCATGAGATTCTTGCGGAGCTGGATCGAGAGCGGCAAGCTCGAGTACCCGAATAGAATTCTAAATCGGAATTGCAAATTTAACAGATTGAGAGTTCTCGCTCATGAAGCAATCAAAAAGCGCGATGAGCACTCGAGACAACGCAATGAAGCATTTACGAGAAAAGGAAGAATTTTTGAAATCAGTGAAAAAAGCGAAAGAATCAATGAGAACTGAGATGGAAACTTCTAATTCAATGTTAGGTATCTAGCGGACCTAAGTCGCCGCCTTCATCAGAGACCAAACCACCATTAAGCGGGTAAGTGTAAAATGAGGGGAAAATTTGGGTTTAGGGGGGTTAATAATCATATCCTGTTTATTTTCCTATGTGGCCATAATAAATGACTTGGAGCCTACGTGGTTTAATTTTCTTGATGTGGCGTCCTACGTGTAGGAGATTGTATTATACGCACTGGCAGCCTCGTGTCATAAGCGTTTATTACACACGGTTTGAAGGAGTGCAAGTGTTCAATTGGCAAATTGTTAAGTTTGGGGACCGGCATGACAAAGTGGGACAAGTATAAGTGTCATTTAGGCTATTCTGCCTTAAAATAACAATCATAAAGACAAGTTTTAATTGACTCTAATTACTTATTCTACTTATAATTTTAATGAACTCTAATTACAATTTATAATAGGTATTACATAATTTAAGTTAGTGCTAAAACCATAAAAAAAATATATATCATATAATAAAAAAGTATTGAATTGAGGAGGAAATTAAAAGTTCAAAGGCAAAAAAGGTATTGTGTAGGATAAAGGGGGAAGAATAATTATTGTTCAAAGTTGAGGGGGGAGTTTGATTTTTAACGCAACGTTGGGAAAGGTAAATGATTTTCACCCTACAAATTAAAATAGGCTGAAAATGTGGGGTGGGGTGGGGCGAGGAGTGACGGGGCGCTATGTGATGAAAGCTGCCATGTCGATGATGAGTGGGTCCATGTGATCAGATGTTCAAACTTCCAACTTCTAACTCTTGACTTTGACCCTTTTCGTTGCTTACAAATCTCCGAAGAGGCTTCAATATGCTCCTGTCACCCCCAACCCCCCCCCCCCCCCACCCCCCCAAAAATATTTATTAACCAATAATAACATGACACATCACCATCCATGTTGAATCGATCTTGACCATATTTAAGAATTCATGGGATCACTTGTTCCAATAAAGGACCAATAATTCAGTTAATTTGCAGAAGACTCAAGCAATATGAAGTGGCTTTAAAATGATTAACCTTTTTTCCATACTTTTGAGATAAAGGAATTTCTTAAATCTACACAAGAGATGACAATTACAACAGATCGAGAAGATAATTTCATCTTTTCACATGCCTATACCTCTTAAGCAATTTATATAACCTATCAAGGTATCCTTAATTTCTTGTGGTCTACAAAATGCTATGTCACCCCAAGAACACATGTCATTAAAGAAACGGAAACGATCAAATATACCCATGTACTATGAGAAAAGGTTTAAATATAACCCTCGTTATATTTTCAGTTCAAATATACCCTTAACGTTATACTATTGGTTTAAATATACCCTTTATCCGTTAAAGTTGTCCAAAATGGTCATCCAATCCTACATAACACTGGCATTTGATGAGGTGGATGCCACGTGACATGTCACCTCAATGCCCCTAATTCATTTTACCCCTCCTCTTTAAAGTTGTCCAAGAATTTTTGTTTCTAGTTTTTATCATTCTTTTAAATTTAAAGATAATATATACATGAATCATATTGTAACTTTCAAAATTCTTTATTGACTTTTTTTTATTTTTGATTTTCTCTTTGTGTAATGTCTTGTAACTATTCAAATTATCTTCTTCTTTTTTCATACTAAAGCAAATTATCTACACCCTTCTTTGAATTACCAATTCTCTTCTTACAAATAATCATTTATAATTTCTTCTCTTATATGCTATTAATTCCCGATTCTTTAAAAAAGTTTATCAAATTTAATTTGTGAAAATTACCTACAAATAGGTAATAAATTTATAATTGGATTGCATAATTTTTATATTGTTAAAAGAAGAAGAAAAAGCATTCACATTACGCCAAATGGCATTACGACAACCTCGGAATATGCCATTTAGCAAATTAGGACAAAGTTAGTTAGTTAAGTAATACTTATTCTTTTTGAATTTAAATTTAAAAATAAATAAATTATGTGTTATGTGTTGTTAATATTAGTTGCTCTTTTGAATTTGAATTTAAACATACTAAACTATTTTTTTTACGAAAACAGTAGTTTTTATATATTTAAAATTATTTCTATTTTACGATCAATACTATCTTTCAAGTTTGGCACTCAGGATCATCTTGTTACAACTATCATATCTATACAAAATTTTATCTTATGACATTCTTCTACCAATAAGGAATTCAACTATTATGCTAATAAAGATATTACTGCAAAGATTTAGGAAGGAGATGGACCTTCTGGTATTCCTTTGGAAATGCAAGGCAAGTCCTCTACTAATATGAAGGTGTTGTATGATAGAACTAGAGATGAAATTATTGAGAGATATTATCATGTGTGAGTGACTTTGCTTATTATTTCATGGTAGATTATTAATATATACTAATTTGTGGAGTAGACTTCTAATTCATAATGAATGATGTATTTTGATTATTCAATTCATTATGTAAACAATAAATAATTATACTAGATAATATTATATGTTTTGGTATAAATAAATATGTTATATGATTTAAATCTTTAATATGTATATTTACTTTATGTTTTATATTTTAATTAAATAAAATAAAAAATAATAAATGTCTCTTACAGTAAATATATAAGCTCATTTTTCTCTTTAAAATAATTATCAGACCTTGGTACAATCCTTTTTGGTAATTTGACACTCCAAAGTACTTTTTTAGAAAGATCTTCCAGACACACTTATTTATCAAATGTTACAAAAAGTACTTCTTAAATGAATTGGCCAAATACAAACTGTTTCTTTCCAAAAGTACTTTTGGATAAAGCACTTCTGAAAAAAAATACTTTTCAAAATAAACAGTTTTCGGCAGCTTGGCCAAACACTCTAAATTGGTAGTAGAAAATATGGAGGAAAAAAAAACGATATTTTCTTAGAAGAAATTTCAGAAATCTAGTTCCAAAACTAATAAATAAATGAAGAAAAAATTGCCTAACAAAATTTAAAAAAGTAGTTGGTGCAAAGTCCAAAGGGACCTGAAACCAGCTAAGGTGTGACAAGCACTCATCAAGTCAAACAAATATAGGGGGAATATAATTCATTGTTTCCATATGCTTTTGCTACTCTTGGAGACATGATCTATTTAGTACAAAATATATAAAAATTAATACATATTTCTTGTCACTGCCACGTTGTATAGAATTTAGTTGTGATTGGAGGCACGTCATCTTTGTTGGAAGTGACCCTTCTTCTAAAGTTTTTAACTTACCTTCTTAACTTATATTCATTGTTTATTAATGATTACTCCCTCTGTTCCAATTGATGTGAACCTGTTTGATTGGGCACGGAGTTTAAGAAAAAATAAAAACTTTTGGAATTTGTGGTTCTAAACAAGCAAAAAAGGGGCCTAGAGTATTTATGTGGTTATAAAAGCTTCTCATTAAGGGTAGAATTATAAGTTTAAGCTAAATTGTTACCAAATTTAGAAAAGGTTCATTCTTTTTGGAACGGACCAAAAAGAAAATAGGTTCACATGAACTGGAACAGAAGGAGTATAATTGTTAATATGCTGATTAGCATGTAACAAGGTCGGTTGTCATATGACCTTACCGTCCTCACTCCAACAATTTTATAACAACGTGTTTGAGGCAAAAATAATTTGAATTGATTCCGACTAGATTGACTACTTTAATGAAATCAAAGTTTAAAATTTGCATTTAGAAAAAAAAGGAAAAACAAAGGGTGTGTTTGGTACGTGTTGGAGTTACATGAGCATTTGGTTTAATACATTGTACTTAATTTGGGCCACAGGTGTAATCCAGTAGTGTATTGGGCCACGACCCATTGTAATTATTTTCTTACCATTCTTTGCATAGCCAATTTTGTAATAGTTAGGCCCATTATTGTATATAGAGAACAGGAACATTCTAGACAGACGGAAGAGGATTATGCAATACAGAAAATTTTTCCCAAAGTTTTTCTCTCATTTTTCTCTCTGAAAGCTCAACATCGATCCGCCATTGTTGCCAATCTCTGATCTTAACATGGTATCAGAGCCATGAAATCATCGATCTGTTACTTCGAAGTCTTAGCTGTGTTGATTTTGAAGATTTCATTCCGTTAAATATCGAATTCTCTCTATCTGATTTTAGCGGTCAAAGTTCTTTCAATGATACTGTTCCTGCCACTGGTTTAGCTCCTTATCTACATCAGATTATCATCAACATCTAAGGAATTTCTGTGATTCCCTCTTCGATCGAAGTTTTGGAGGATTTTCATCAAAGCTAGGGTTTTTTTATCGTTCTCAGCAATTTTTGTGCATCTCATCTTCAAGGCCTTTTAACTTCTTCAGGTCGCGAAGAAGTTTGGTACATTCTTCTCTATTTCTCTATGTTAATTGATTCCATTTTTGAGAAATTAAGATTTGTTGAGTTTTAGTCGATTTTTCTGCTTTCTGCTGATAGTCATGGGTGATTCTAGTTCAAGTACTGGTCCATACATTCCTGAACCTACGAGTCCTCTGTTCTTACTTCCTTCTGATGTGCGAGGAGTGTCTCTTGTTAGTGTTCCCTTTTCTGGGACAGGTTTTGGGGGTTGGAAGCGAAATATGATAGTTTCTCTGTCTACTAAAAATAAAATAGGATTCATAGATGGCTCGTGCGTTAAACCTGCTGAAACCTCTCCTCAATATAGACAACGGGATAGATGTAACAACATGGTTATATCATGGTTGACCAATTCATTATCCCTAGACATTGCTGAAAGCGTACAATACTCAGAAACAGCTGAGAGTATTTGGAAACAATTAAACAATAGATATGGGATTGTTAGTGGGACTAAAGTTTTTGAGATTAAAAGAGAGTTGTCCTCCACCTATCAAGGATCCCTAGATGTTGCCTCTTATTTCAATAAGCTTAAGAAACTTTGGGATGAACTGGAGATTATGCGTAGTAGTCATGCTAATGCTTGTAATTGTGCTGCTAAAGAAGGTCTCCAAAAAGAAAAGGAAGAAGATAAGGTTCATCAGTTTTTATTGGGACTAAATGAGGTATATGTAGGAGTTAGAAGCAATATTCTAATGATGCACCCATTGCCTTCCCTTGATAGTATTTATAATATACTTCTACAAGATGAAAAGCAAAGACAAGTTCTTCCAAGTCCACAAGCTTACTCAGAATCAGCCTCCTTTCATGCAAATTTAAACAAGTTTGCTCCTCAATTTTCCCCTCAGCAACAACATCCTCAGAAATTAAAATCTGACCAGTATAATCAAAGGGTAATTCCTGATCACAGCAAGGCTTCAATGTTCTGTATTGCAAGAAGCCTGGCCATGTAATTGAGAAATGTTACAAATTGCATGGGTTTCCTCAGAATTTTAAGTTTACAAGAGGTAAAAGGTTTGGTTCTGCTGCTGTTGTTGAAGGGCAGCATCCTGGTGTTTCTGATCATGCTCTTACACATGGTGAAGACTCTTTAATACCTGGTTTAACCAAAGAGCAGTATAATCAGCTGATGAGCCTTCTTCAACAATCTGGTCTTAATGAATCATCTTCTCAACCTGTCATGATGGGCTTTGCAAACTTTGCTGGTAATTCTTCTTCCCTACCTGTGTGTCTGAATGGTACTTCTAGTGTGCGCATGTTGACTAATGTAGCTGGAAGGATATGGATAGTGGATTCTGGAGCCACTGACCATATGACTTCAAATAAGAACCTTCTTTTCATTATCACTCCTCTACCTATACCTTACCTAGTTTCCTTGCCTAATGGTTACAAAGTGAAAGTCACCTGTACTGGATCTCTTACTTTGTTGCCTTATTTCACTCTTCATCATGTTTTATACATACCTTCCTTTCACTATAATTTGATTTCAGTAAGCAAACTGATTGATCAGTTCAGATGTTATGTTTTATTCACTTTCCAATCTTGTATACTTCTACAGGCCCATTCTATGAAGAAGCTTCTGGAGCTTGGTAGAATGGACCATGGACTATACAAATTTTACTATAACCAACCTACTCCTCATGCATCTGTTTCCCAAAATCTGATGGACAGTATTGAACAAACTATTTCTTTTCCTGCTGTTTCTGATTCATTTGTTTCTAGTCCTAGCACAATAACTGAAGCACATGATTCCTCTTTGAATGCACATGTAGATGTTCTGAATTCACTTCATGATCCTGTTTCATTGCCAAATTGTAACAGAAACCAACATATAAATAAAAATGATGTTCTTTGGCATCATAGACTGGGGCATATTCCTTTTGCACTAATGAAAAATATAACTTCCATTTCTTCTTCTTTATCAGGAAAGCATTCCTTTATTTGCCCTATTTGCCCTTTAGCAAGACAACCCAGAATGTCATTTCCAAATAGCTCCACTCATTCTACTACACCGTTTCAACTTATACATGTAGATACTTGGGGTCCCTACCACACTCAAACATATTCTGGGGCAAAATATTTTCTGACAATAGCTGATGATTATAGTAGGGCAACCTAGACACATTTGCTACACTCCAAAAGCCATGCTTTCAGCCTAATTAAAGCTTTTGTACCAATGGTTAAGACACAATTTCAACTCCCTGTAAAAGTCATTAGAAGTGATAATGCCTTAGAACTTGGATCTTCTAATTCAGCTCTTCAATTCTTTTCTGACACTGGTATAATTCATCAAACAACTTGCCCTCACACCCCACAACAGAATGGGGTGGTGGAAAGAAAACACAAGCATTTACTTGAAACTTTAAGAGCCCTTTTGTTTCAGTCCAAGCTTCCTACCAAATTTTGGGGTGATTGTATTTTAACAGCAACTTACCTTATTAATAGGTTTCCCTTCTCAGTTTTATACAACAAGACACCATTTGAACTTCTTTATGGTAGCCCGCCTTCTTATTCTCACCTAAAACCCTTTGGATGTTTATGTTATGCTACTGTTCCAAAATGCAATACGGACAAGTTTCAGCCAAGAGCTTCCCCTTGTGTCTTTATTGGGTATCCCTATGCTAAAAAGGGTTACAAACTGTTCAATTTAAATACCAAATCAGTTTTGCACTCAAGGGATGTCATTTTTCATGAATCTGTCTTCCCCTATCTCCTGCCACATTCTACTTCTCCTTCTTCTACCCCAACATCTTGTCCCATGTATTTTTTGATCCACCTTCTGATCCACCTAGTTTCAGCCCACCTGCATTTTCTTCCCAACCTGAACATGATTTTTCATCACCACCTGAACATGATCCTGTTCAGCCCACCTTCCCAATACCTGAATCAGAACCTCAACCTCATCAATCTACTGTGCTTAGAAAAAGTTCTAGAACACACCACCTGCCTTCTCACTTGAAAGACTATGTTGTACTACTTCCCTCTCCCCTTTCCTCCTCTATTCCTTCATCCTTTTCTGCTACACAACATGCACTAGTGGAGCCTCATTCTTACACTCAGGCTGCTGCCTCCCCTGCTTGGTAAGAAGCTATGGCCAACGAATTTGAAGCCTTAGAGGCTAATAAGACTTGGCAGATTGTTGAATTACCTTTTGGTAAGAAACCCATAGGCTGTAAATGGGTGTACAAAATTAAATATAAAGCAGATGGTAGTGTGGAAAGGTTTAAAGCCAGACTGGTAGTTAGGGGAGATACCCAGGTGGAAGGGATTGATTTCAATGAAACCTTGGGATTGATTTCAATGAAACCTTCTCACCTGTTGTCAAGATGTGCACTGTCAGATGCTTGATTGCTGTTGCACTTAAGCAAAACTGGCCTTTATTCCAATTAGATGTCAACAATGCTTTTCTACATGGTGATCTAGATGAGGAAGTGTACATGAAAATTCCTCCAGGGCTTTTAGTTTCTTCTACTTCCAGTTCTGCCCCTTTGGTTTGCAAGCTTCAAAAATCACTTTATGGTCTTAGACAGGCTTCTCGACAGTGGTATGCAAAGTTATCACAAGCCCTTTGCTCCAGAGGGTATATCCACTCATTGAATGACTATTCTTTATTTGTTAAAATGTCTCCATCTTCCACTGTTTTTCTTGCTGTCTATGTGGATGACATCATCCTCACTGGTGATGATTTGTCTGAAGGAAAATATATTTCAATTTCTCATGTTTGATTGATTTTTGAAAAATATTTTGCTCATGAACTCGTTTTCCTTCAATTGGAGGAAAATAACTTCCCTACTAAAAGGAGGGAAAATATTTTTCGAAACTCTTTTTCAACCTTTCCTATCCTATTTCTCACCCCACCCCCAGGCCAATACCCTTCCCCGCCTCACCACCCCCTACCCCTTGCCACTGCCACCCCGGCCCCTAGCTGGAACCCGACCTAGTACCCTACCTCACCCTTACCCATTTCGTCTTCTATATATAGTGTTTGGCTAAATTATGTATTTTTCAAAAAATATTTTCTGCTACCTAAGCAAATACCAGAAAATAAGTAAAAAAACTACTTATTTATCAGAAAATAGTTTTTCAGGAAAACATTTTGCTTCCTGCCAGACACACCCAAAATAGAAGAAAATGAAAAGAAGGGACATGGGCCATATCATGAATCAAGAAGTGGACTTTTCAAAAGATAAAGCAGGCCGATCCATTATAAGAGCCCAATCATTAAGAAAATTATGGCCCATCAAGCCCAAAAATTACCACGTGAAAACTGAAATGACAGCTTCAAATAATATTTTCCAGTTCTCATTCCTCAGTCACTCAATCTTTTATCTGGTAACTACAACATGGCCAGCTGTAAGCAACGTAAGGGCAATACGGGAAATAAATAAGCTTTCTAGTTTGACCAGTCAATCAAGAATTCAAAGCAAATATTAAGAATTGATATGAGAATGAGTGTATATTTTACTTGAGTGGTCAGTCAATTTTCTAAAACAGTAATAGAAAAATAGTTCTTTGCCATGCATAACTTATGCAGCTACAATTGAAATTCATCTAATTAACTGCTCCCTCCTATGCACAATAAGTGACCATTTTGCTTTGGGCATGCCCATTAAGAAAATACTAAATTCTAGACGAAAATAGTTAGTATGACTAAACTACCTTTCATTAAATGTAGCACCATAGTTATAGTAGCACTTATTTCTCTTCTCAATGTGAGGAGTAAATGACTTTTTAAGGATACGTACATAAGGGTAATTTTGAAAAAACAAATTGAATTTTTTCTTGATTATATAAATGGACACTTATTTTGGACCAAAATAAAAAAGCAAATTAGTCATTTATTATGGACCGAAGGGAGTATATATCGGTGTAAATGCAAGTATATAAAGTGCCAAAATTCATCATTTTAGTAGAGTATTGTTTAATGCTTCAAGTGGTTGAGGTGAAAACTTGACTAACAAAAAAAGGAAAAAAAAGAGAGACATGGGACCTAATGTGATAGTGTGCAAACAGAGTGGCAGAGAAAGGGGAATAATGGAGGCATGGCACATTGTCAATTAGGAGGCCTCACCCTCAGAAAAGGGGTCTGTTGCTAGCTGGATAACCTCTTGCTCTTAGTTGGCATTTTTACTCATTTATTTATTTTTATCTTTTTCCTTTTCCTAAAAAGATTAAAAGTTTGCCACTTTGCTTCATATTTTAAAACCAAATGGCAGATTAGCATGATATGAGAGTCTGTGCGAAAACCTGCTTTTAGAGAACACCAAGAATGGCTTATTACCTACCCCATCGGTCTGCAATTATTTGTCGTGATTTTTTAAAAATAGTTATCTTAAATTACTTCCTCCGTTAACTTTTACTTGACAGATATATTAAAAATAAATTCTATTTATACTTGTCACTTTACGTATATCAAGAGAATTTTTTTTCTTCTGTTATACCTACAATATTTATTACTCATTTCAAATTATTTTCTCAAATCCGATAATATATGCGTCAATTAATATGGTTATCATGGTAAATTATGCACTTCATTTATTATTTCTTAAGGGGCGTAAAAAGTTAAAACTTACCAAGTAAAAGTGAACGGAGGGAGTATTTATCATTTTAGAAATTGATGAAAATTAATTATTTTTTTCCTATTTTACTTTTAATAGTAATTGTTCTTGAAGATTAAAATATCACATAAACAGAGTACATATTCAATGAAAAGTGATTACTTCTTAAGACATAAATAAAGGTAAAACACTCTAAAATCCCGACTAATTAATATTTTCTTAAGGACGTGTAAAATATAGATCACAATAAATAATTTGAGATGTCGGGAGTATCGTTCAAGATCTAGTCAGGTGGTTGAAATCCTTTACCTTTAACTAAAATTTGAAATTTAAGTCTATACATGAAGAACGTCTTGATGGAGAAATACTTTACCTTTTTTAGTAAATCTATTTTATGCAAATCTAAATTAGTAAGATTAGCTAAATTCAAATACCAAATAATTAAATCTTGAAAAAAGAGAGAAAGGAGTGGTCTATAGAGATTTTTAACGTGAGGATAGAGCTGGCAAAGCTCGTGCTAGCAAGAAATGATGGCCACGTCGTGCGCAGGTGTAGGAATATTAAGAAGAGTTTTACCAAAAGAAAAAAAAAAGAGAGAATCTCATTTTAATTTATTAAATAAAAATGATGTTACCTTTTCTTTCTATGATCATGAGTCACGTGCAGCTGACGTGACCTTATTGCCAGTTTGGCAGTTCTATTGGAGTAGGGAGTTTTGGACAAGTGAAGGTCACGTGAGTTTCGCATGTTCCCTAAAAGCAGTGAAAGAACTTCTCCATATGTTTTGAAGTCTGTCTTTAAGTTGTCTTCTCGGAATGCGCCAGGCAGCTAGATGTGGGCTCCAAAATGCCGGCCCGTTTATCCCTAATGGGCCAGGCTGTCTCAGTTATTCAATAGATTGTTGTTCAAATATTAGTTAGGGATGTTTGGGTAATTTGAACAGATAAGATAGTTTCACGGGTGAAATACACAAATAGTCCTCAAAGTATATGAACTTGAATTTTTACGAGGAATTTACATAGAATACAATTTCTTTTAGACTTATTTAAATAAGTTACAACTATTTTCAGAATATTACACATATACAATTTATTTTCAAATTTTCAATTTTAAATTAGATTATATACAACTTTTTTTTATCCCTAATATCTCTAATAAGATTCTCTCTCACCTAAGATATCTCTAATATATTTCTTTCAATATGCTCTCTCACCTAAAACTAGGGGTGTCAATGATTCGGTTCAGCTGGTTATTTTATAAAATTTGTATCATACCATTTTTTCGGTTATTCTATTATGTATAATCAAAATTAGACTTTTCGAAATCGTACCAATCATATCGGTTTCTCTTCAGTATCAGTACGGTTCGATTAATTTTCGGTATTTTTGTAAATATCATGTAAATTTCACCAATAGAAGTAGAATGTAATAATATACGTTCTTTTATAGGACTTAGCACAACTCTTTAGATATTTTACTATTTAAAGGGTGATGAATTAAAAAAATGAAAGATGGCTAGAGTATAGATCCATCAACTATTCTACAACAACGTAAAAGAAACC